TTGCAATGGAAGGAAATCATCTGGGAAATGCAAAAAGCCAAACACATGAGAAGGACATGACATGGGGGAATGGCGTTCTGTAGATTGTATACAATACACCATCAGTGTTGCCAAAGCTATTAGGACATCATTCATTGTCAGTTGTAGAAAAGCATTGCTTGACGCAGAATGCAATGGAATGGTGGTTAATAACATTAAATCTAAACTCAACATATAAAACTCCAATCAATGCAAGGATGTATTCATTAAAGGCCTAGTGCCCAACCTGAGGCCCTTTGATATATGATGTGTGGCCCTTGAACCTCAGCAGTCTGTAGTGGGAGCATTGATTAGGGTAATAGCATTGATCTCTACTATCCTCATGTAACTTGTTCACAGTTTTGTATTGTGTTCTGCAGGATATCTCCTGTCAAAAATGTAGCATGTCCATGCTCTCCGACTCTCATCTCCTCTATTAGCTCTGCAGTTTCTGACAGTACTCTCAAGCATTACATACCATCAAAGCAAGAGTAGAGGTGTAAGAGCGTAGAGCCCTGACTGGCTCTGAGTACTGCCTCGAGGGGGCTGATGGCAAGACAAGTTAAAGTACTCATCCTAGTTCTGTGCAAAAATACAGTGAAAGCCTAATTTCAAGTTCATATAAAAGGCACATATTAATGCAGCACTGTATTTATAAATATGCCATTAGATGTATTTTGTTAATAATTAACCACTTGCCCTCCAGAAGATTTACCCCCCCTTTCCTGACCAGGCCATTTTTTGCTATTTGGCACTGCGCTATTTCAACTAATAATTGCGCGGATATGCAATGCTGTACATAAATTAAATTTATGTCCTTTTTTTCACACAAATAGAGCTTTCTTTTGGTGGTATATGATCACTGCTGGCTTTTTTATTTTTTTGCACTATAAATAAAAAAAAAATATATATATATATATATATATATATATATATATATATATATATATATATATATATATATATATATATATATATATAATTTGAAAAAAAAACTATTTTTACTTTCAGTTATAAAAAAATATATAGCAAACTCAAAGTTGGTCATCAATTTAGGACGAAATGTATTCTGCTGTGTTTGGTAAAAATATCCCAATAAGTGTATATTAATTCATTTATGTGAAAGTTACAGTGTCTGGTATAGATACTGGAATTTACGCCATTTTTTGCTATACGGCGCTGTGCTAGTTTAACTGTCATGCAATGCTGTACATCCATTAAATTTATGTTATTTTTTCTCCTACAAATAGAGCTTTCCTTTGGTGGTATTTGATCACCTTTGGGTTTTGGGTTTTTTTGCACTATAAAAGACCAACAATTTTGAAAAAAAAATTCTTATTTCTATTATAAAAAAAATATCCAATAAGCTCAAAGTTAGTCATACATTTAGGCCAAAATGTATTTTGCTGCATGTCTTTGATAAAAAAAATTCCAATAAGTGTATATTAATTGATTTGTGTGAAAGTTATAACGTCTACAAAGTATGGTATAGATACTGGAATTTACACAGCTTTTACTTTCTGACTGCCTATCACAGTTTCAGATGCTCTGAAACTCTAGGATAGCACAATCCCCCCACAAATTTTTTTATTTTTTTTATCACACAGTTGTCACTCAAATGATATATTGCTCACACGTGCCATGGGTATATGTAGAATTACACGCCAAGATACATTCTGCTACTTCTCCTGAGTATGAGGAAATCACATGTGTGAGACTTTTTGGGAGCCTAGCCACATAGAATGTATAGTGGTACCCCATATGGAAAAGGGTGACACCAAGTCCCAAACTATCTTACCACTACTCCCCACGTAGTCTGGGCATCTGGCGGGCTCCAGTGACTATCTTATCCCTCGTAAATCCATAAATTACATGTATAGCCTGTTGCCTCTCACAGGTCTTATGCATGGTGCCCCCATATCTGGTACACTTGCTGGGGCGAAATTGTTTGAATGCAAGGCAGCCAGAAAAATGAATGAGAGACTCATCAATGCAGATGTTTTACTGGGGAGTATACATATCTGCAAATTTCAGGCTAAGGTGATTTACGGGGGGCCGAATGTTGTGGAAGCGGTCATTTTCAGGGTCACCCCAAGGACGACAGAGTGTATTGTCTTTGAAATGTATAAATCACATTTCTCATATGCCTAGCCATGACAGCAGAGAACACGGGCATATGATGAATCCGGTCTGTGGACCAATACAACCGCAATTAATTTTTTTTTAGTAATGCCCATGTTGAGGGTCTGGCGAGGTTTGAATTTGGGTTGGCGGCAATTAATTGTTGTGCGTATAAATTGCTTTGATCCACAATCAATCCATACAGATCTTCAGCTCCAAAAAATCAAGGGGAGTAATTAAATTTGCTGTTTTCAGCTGAATCCCGGGTTGGGCAGTGAATGGGGGAAGTATGGGTGCTGCAGAATTTGTGGGACACTATGGGCTCTACAGGCCTGTGTTCAAATTCTTGGTGGCTGCAGGACAGTACTTGTGCTTGCCACCGCACCAGCTTATACTGCACTTATGGGACTCGCCACATCACCAAGTGATACTAAAGTGCTGGTGTGAAAAAGACCAGGATGTACTAGGCCGATGGTGCTCGCCAGCTCACCAAAAGCTGAAGTGGCACTAGTACTGGCACTCTGCTGCATATGAGAGTCATCATGTGATTGTAACATCTGGGGTCGGGTACGCTTGACCTTAGCAGGGACCTCTTCTCCATCATCTGAGCTATCTGTCAGAGTGCCGTTGCTGTCTACAGGTTTGTATTCTGAGGCTGATTGTGTCATGGAGTCTTCCCATTCACTCTCATCTGACATGCTCAGAATCCGGTAGACCTCTTCACTAGTGTACCTTTCGTTGGACATTTTGGCCACTAAATTTCTAGGTATCTAGTGCGACTCACGGGAAGAAGAGCACCTGACTGTCAGAGACTGCTTGAACTGCTATAAAAAAAATGCACCTGCTAGATCAGGACTGATCTTGCTAACCCTGCAGTTTTGTGTGCAATGTATCAAGTGACAGTGATCTACTGACACTGCACTTGCTGGGGGAGAAGGGGGGGTAAGCATAGAGACTAAACAGAGGTGGCGGCAGGCTGATCCTGCTAACGCTGCGTTTTTGGGGACACTATACTAATGTGAACGCTGGTATAGTGCTGATCTGATCAAAGATATTGATCCATTCAGACACTATACTAGCAATGGAGGTTTATTGTGTATGTGAGCGTGTTCCTGGCAATCAAAGGGTTAAATGTGATGACTGATCTAGCAGGGGGCAATCTGACACTATCTGGAAGGGACGCTAACTGACTCTAACGATAATACAGTGATCAGTAAAAAAATCTGTACACTGTACTAATGACACTGTTGACAGGGCAGTGAAGGGGTTAACTGGGGGGCGATCAGGGGGTTAAATGTGACCTAGAAGTGCTTTTACTGTGTTTGTAGTGCTTTGACTCACATGGATATGCTTTCTTCTCTCTTTGGAATGGAATGTGCTCCAGGGAGAGATGATTGCATTATATCCTGTGCCTGTGTAATATAAGCACAGGCACAGGCTGAGATCTGATTCGGTACAGCCGATCAGCAGATTCAGGACAAACATCATTGGCCTGAATCTGCTGAGTGTTCGGTGCTGCACCAAATCACAGCGCCACCATACCAGCGGACGTACTCATGCGCCCCCCTACCTGTGAACATGGCGGGAGTACGGATCACGTATATATACATGATTTTGTGCAGGGAGTCCGCCCTGTAGCAGTAAAACTGCTATAGGGCGGATGTTTACTGGTTAAGCTAATGTAAGTACCTGAATGTGGGTGATCTCTTCCTATTCAGTTTGGAGAGCACTGCCCTACACATCTTTACTCTGACTGGGAGAGGGAGGGGCAGAATTGGGAGAATTGGGAGCCATTCAGATGTGCTGCATGTTAATTTTCTTACAAGAAACATGATAATAGGAAGAGAGAGAAGAGTAAATTGAGAGGCTACGTCATCGGTTTCTTGCTGCTCTTTTGCTGTCCTGTCAGTAGACTGAGGTTAGAAAGAGGACACCACTGTATTCTTTCTATGTATTGTATTACATTTTTTTTTTCTTATATCTGCCTGGAGTTCAGGTTCACTCTGGAGAGAAAATTGATAGGAAGAGGTACCCCATACAATTATATATATATATATATATATATTCAGAAAATAATATGAATTCACCTAGAGCAGCATTTCTCAACCCTGAGGTTCCTCTAGAGCAGTGGTTCTCAACCTTTCTAATGCCGCGACCCCTTAATACAGTTCCTCATGTTGTGGTGACCCCCAACCATAAAATTATTTTCATTGCTACTTCATAACTGTAATTTTGCAGTGGGAGGAGTAGTGCCATGTCATTGGTGTCAGTGGAAGGAGTAGTGCCCCATCACTGATGTCAGTGGGATGAATAGTGCCCCATTGTTGGTATCAGTGGGAGGAATAGTGCCCCGTCACTGATGTCAGTGGGATGAATAGTGCCCCATCTTTGGTGTCAGTGGGAGGAGTAGTGCCCCATCGTTGGTGTCAGTGGGAGGAGTAGTGCCCCATCGTTGGTGTCAGTGGGAGGAGTAGTGCCCCATCGTTGGTGTCAGTGGGAGGAGTAGTGCCCCATCGTTGGTGTCAGTGGGAGGAGTAGTGCCCCATCGTTGGTGTCAGTGGGAGGAGTAGTGCCCCATCGTTGGTGTCAGTGGGAGGAGTAGTGCCCCATCGTTGGTGTCAGTGGGAGGAGTAGTGCCCCATCGTTGGTGTCAGTGGGGGGAGTAGTAGTGCCCCATCACTGGTGTCAGTGGGAGGAGTAGTGCCCCATCACTGGTGTCAGTGGGGGGAATAGTGCCACATCAGTGGTGTCAGTGGGGGGAGTAGTGCCCCATCATTGGTGTCAGTGGGGGGAGTAGTGCCCCATCATTGGTGTCAGTGGGGGGAGTAGTGCCCCATCATTGGTGTCAGTGGGGGGAGTAGTGCCCCATCATTGGTGTCAGTGGGGGGAGTAGTAGTGCCCCATCATTGGTGTCAGTGGGAGGAATAGTGCCCCATCATTGGTGTCAGTGTGGTGGAGGGGAGAATAGTGCCCCATCATTGGGGTCAGGGGGGGGGGGGGAATAGTGTCCCATCGTTGGTGTCAGTGGGGGGAGGAATAGTGCCCCATCATTGGTGTCAGTGGGGGGAGGAATAGTGCCCCATCATTGATGTCAGTGTGGTGGAGGGGAGAATAGTGCCCCATCATTGGGGTCAGGGGGGGGGGGGAAATAGTGCCCCATCGTTGGTGTCAGTGTGGGGAAGAATAGTGCCCCATCGTTGGTGTCAGTGGGGGGAGGAATACTGCCCCATCGTTGGTGTCAGTGGGGGGGAGGAATAGTGCCCCATCGTTGGTGTCAGTGGGGGGAGGAGTAGTGCCCCATCGTTGGTGTCAGTGGGGGGAGGAATAGTGCCCCATCGTTGGTATTAGTAACACAAATGATGGGGCACTATTCCTCCCACTGACACCAATGATACTTACCTTGCTGACCCCTGCTCCAGCCTGGGCTCGCTCTCTCACTTACCTGTCAGCTGTCTTCCTTCTCTGGCCGCTCTCCTCTTCACTCGCTCCCTCGGTCTTCTTTGATGTCCGCGCGCTGCCGCTTGGCTCCTCCTCTCCAAGCTCCACCTCCTCGCCGGTGATTGGCCGCCTGTGTGCCTCTCCTGAGCTACAGTTCCGGTGGCCAATCAGCGGCGAGGAGGCGGAGCTGCTGAGCGATCTTGGAGGTGTGGCCGGGTGACAGCAGCGTATCATCCCGCCCACACATCGCCGGAGACTGCAGCGGTGTCTCGGTTCCTAAGACCATCGGAAATATGTGTTTTCCGATGGTCTTAGGCGACCCCTGGGAAATGGTCGTTCGACCCCCAAAGGGGTCGCGACCCCCAGGTTGAGAACCGCTGCTCTAGAGGATGGTGGGGGTCCTAGAGCAATGAGTGATTTCTGCTTTCCCTAAATGGGGGAGACATTCTTCCTACTGACCACTAATGTAAGGAGTATTCTTACCACTGAGCATCACAATAGGCAAGTGTTTGTCAACCTGGGTGCCAATTGGGTTCCTCCAAGGTGCCGTGAGCATGGGATCCAGTTTGCCTTGGAACAGTATCAGGAGTTGCCATGGTGCAGTCAGGCTGGCCGCCAGCACCATAACAACCAATGACACTTTGGGGCCAAGACACACAGCATCAATTGTTGCTATGGTAATGGTGGGCAGTTCTCCACACCATCGCAATGTATGACTATGATGCAGGGTAGGAGGCATGCAGCCCTCCCCCACCACAATCAGGAGAAGAAAGAAGTCCAGATGTTCTCCAGACCTCCTCCACCTTCTTCCCTCTGTCATACTGCTGGAAGCAAAAGGTAGAGCTCTAATGTGAAGAGGGGATTGCATGATTTGGAGGCTCTGTGATGGGGGGCTCTGATGTTATGAAGGACTCATGTATAGTGGGCCTCTGATGTATAGGAGTGACTCTAATGTATAGGGATGACTACGATGTGATGGGGACGCTCATGTACAGTATAGTGGGGACTCTGATGTAATGGAGCCTCTGATGTGAATGGGAACTATGATGTGAAGTTAATTTCATAAAGGTGGATGTGCGCATTGTCCCAGGCTCAGGTTTTCCATTGATAAGTAACATTGACATTTTTAAAATTTAAAATGGGGTGCCTCAAGATTTGAATGCCAGCGCTGAATAAAGGTTGAGAAACACTGTGCTAGCAAGCTGAAGATTGGCATAAATTCTTTGAGAATGGAAAGTTATATTAAAATGGTTGAAAAGGACTGACACAGAGGTTTTTTTTTTTTTAAACAAAATATGCCTGAAGGGTAAGAGTACACATAACAATGATGTTAATTTTTTGGTCAGTTTAAACAGCAGATCTATCCCACGGTTCATCTTTAGAGTGAAGGATCAAGAGAGGGGAAATTCCTTCCATACTGATCACTTCCCACAGCTATTTTTAACATTATCTGGAGTCCACTTACAGAATGTAAATGGTACATATTGCAATATTTATCTGCTAAAATTATAATTAAAATTTGAATAGCAATTCTCAAATCCAGGGTTCATGTGTCTACATCAAGATTATAGACACGTAGGGTGGCATTTAACGCTGGCACTACCCCAGGCATTGTCTGTAAAGGTTCTCAATATTTAGGTCACGGTATATCTAGTAGTAGTAGTTGAAATCCAAAAATAGTGTACAATTACTTGTGAGCCAATGGGAGGTGCTCACATATATATCTCTATATACAATATATTATAATAGATCGCTGGCTTCCTTGCTCACCCTCACTTGGTGTGCATCAAAAAACAAACAGTGAATTCATGTGGTGCCACACTCTATCAATCATGCAACATCAAAAACATAAACGAATCTATAAAAACAGTTGTGCACCATATGCACAACTACATCCCCCAGAGGAAGCCACGAGTCCCTGTGGCGTAACGCGTAGGGGAGGGGCAGTGACGTCACCACGCATCCACACTGAGACATGGCGAGTATTGACAGTGTGCGCAGGCACACCAACGAGGCTGACCTCACCGCAGTCGGCGGTTTTATATACATATACAAAGCGCATCTTTGTCTTTTTACATGTGAGTCCATTACAACGCACATTAAAGTCTTACACCCCAGATAAGACACTATGAGGTTTATTTTACTAAACCTGGTTGACTCAGAATCTTGTCCACTTCTGCATAAAAACCAATCAGCTTCCAGGTTTTATTGTTGAAGCTTAACTGAACATGCTGAGGTTATAAGCTGATTGGCTACCATGCACAGGTGCCCAAGATTCTGAGTCAACCAGGTTTAGTAAATAAACCCCTATGCATCTTCTCTTCTTTTACATATATTCCACTCGAGGAGGATGTGATCAAGTAGCCAGCTGAGGAAGGAAAGGATTCCGTTTATTACACTGACTTACGGTGCAGCTTCTATTGTACACCACATCTACCATATCTTAATCACCACAAAGGAGAGTATACTGAACTCAATGGTGTATTGCATTTATTGGGAGACTGACAACATATTGTATAAAGGATTTCTCCTATAAAGTTTAAGATCACCACCGGATTATCAACTAAAGAACCTATTGTATAATAGTGTCTAGATTTAATGCATTGTAATGATCAGTATAAGGGATATATATATATATATATATATATATATATATATATATATATATATATATATATATATATATACACACACACACATATGATGCACAACTGTTTTTATAGATTAGTTTATGTTTTTGATGTTGCATGATTGATAGAGCGCGGCATCACATGAATTCACTGTCTAGTAGTAGTTGGCCACCATCAACTGGACTTGTTCTGTAGTATTCAAGATTACATAGTTACATATGTAGGTATGTTTCTACTAGTAGTAGTTGGTCACCTTCAACTAGACTTCTGTAATATAGAAGATGTTTTGTAGTTTATCCAAACCACTTGTTCATTTTCCTGACACTATAGAACCAAAAATAAGTAGCTTGGACAAGCAGCAAAATGTTTCAACATATTAGAAGTCCAGCTGAATGTAATCAACTACTACTAGATATACACCAAACATTGAGTGGAGGCAACGTAAACAAAAAATCTGCACACCACATTTGAATGTTTTACTATGGATGGAATATTCAAAGGCAAATAAGTTCTTTTTTGTGCCCTTTCACCCTAAGAGTAAGGGTGACCATAGGGCTAGTATCTCCCCGAGGACAACTTTCAGGATGATAGCTGCACATCCTTGCATGACATTGAGTGCCATGGGCTGTTCCAAGATTTGGCCAATTTGGATTTTGTTGGATGTGGAGTACTTTCCTTTTCTACACAGGAGGTGCTTTTGGGTGCCTGTTGCCCCCTGGCACTGTAGAAGCATCCCAAAAATCACAAGTGATGCTTTAAATCAGGAACATTACATGCTTTATATCAGTCATCTACAGGCAAACTATGTAACAGTACTATACTGTTGGATTGGAGTAACCTCCAGATGAGTTTTGCTCTCAGCCAGTTAGTTACTGTTATGTACGAGGGGTGTTCTAGTCAAACCAGGAATTTTAATTTTATAGGTATAAAAAGGTATGCTAGCGTGGCAGTACTACATGCAGTGGGAAGTGGCAAAGTCCAAATTTGGGCTTTAGACTGATAGTTAGAGGTAGGGTTGTGGTAAGTGATCCTGTGACCAGACCATTGCCTGCATATAGCACTATTACTAAGCCGTAAATTAGCCCTTTAAGCTGAACTCTCGGCTCTACAAAAATAATTTTGCAGTGTCCAGCACTGCAAGAGTTAATGATTGTTAGGTCTGGGGGGGAGGGCGCAAAGATGAAGGCTACATTACTTACCTGACTCCCTGCTCCAGCCAGCTGTGATGCTGCCTTCTGCTCCCCAAAATTTCAAGCTGTGGGTGGTCCCTTTTATGTCATCACATACAATGCAAGGCATTTAACCCTTCTTGTAAGTGGCAGGAGCAAGCGTGTAACTGCAGATGAGAGCATCTTAGAGAGGAGGAACCCAACACATTGCTAGATGGACACTGCTGGAGCACAGAAAACAGTAAAACAGCCTCTTCTGCTGCCCTGGACTTTACGAGCATTTAACTTCTGCAGAGTGGGGTGACCCCACTGGAAGGCGTTTTCTGTATTTTTTCTTGTGCCTGGAGTTGGGCTTTAATACAAAACCTCACTGAGCACTTGACGACTGGAAGAGAAAGTGAAGGGAAATAGATGGCACTAAAAAGCTTGCAGAGAATCTCAGCTTACCCTACCCCCCATTCTGCTGCTAAAAAAAATAATAATAAAGTAAAATTAAAAAAAAAAATAAAAAAAAAATTATATATACACACACATATATATATATATATATATATATATATATATACATATATATATATATAATACACACATACATACATACACATACATATATACACACATACATACGTGTGTGTGTATGTGTGTGTATATGTATATATATATATATATATATATATATATATATGTATGTATGTATATATATATATATATATAT